ACTTGCAGATGATATAATAGTATATACAAGTGACCCCAAAAACTCTACCAGAGAACTCCTACAGCTGATAAATACCTTCAATGATGTGGCAGAATACAAGATCAACTAAAAAAAAAAATAGTAGCCCTCCTGTACACAAATGATAAAGAAGCTGAGAGGGAAATCAGAGAAACATCACCTTTCACAATAGCCACAAATAGCATAAAATATCTTGGGGTAACACTAACCAAGGAAGTGAAAGACCTATTTGACAAGAACTTTAAGTCTTTGAAGAAAGAAATTGAAGAAGATACCAAAAAATGGAAAGATCTCCCATGCTCTTGGATAGTTTGGTTCAGCATAGTAAAAATGGCAGTCCTACCCAATGCAATCTATAAATTCAATGCAATCCCTATCAAAATCTCAACACAATTCTTCTCAAACATCAAGAGAACAATAATCAACTTCATATGGAAAAGAAAAAAAAACCCAGGATAGCCAAAACAATCCTGTACAATAAAGGGACTTCCGGAAGCATCACCATCTGTGATATCACGCTCTACTACAGAGCTACAGCAATGAAAACAGCTTGGTACTGGCATAAAAACAGAGAGGTTGACCAATGGAATCGAATTGAAGACCCTGATATTAATCCATATACCCATGAACATCTGATTGACAAAGAAGCTAAGATTATACAATGGGGAAAAAAGTATCTTCAACAAATGATGCTGGCATAACTGGATGTTAACATGTAGAAGAATGAAAATAGATCCATATCTATCCCCATGCACAAAACTCAAGTCTAAATGGATTAAAGACCTCAATATAAATCCAATCACACTGAACCTGAAAGAAGAAAAAGTGGGTAGTAGTCTTCAGTGCATGGGCTCAGGAGACCACTTCCTAAATATAACCACAGTAGCACAGACACTGAGAGCAACAATAAATAAATGGGACTTTTTAAAACTGAGAGGCTTCTGTAAAGCAAAGGACACAGTCAATAAGACAAAAAAGCAGCATACTGAATGGGAGAAGATCTTCACCAACCCCGTATCAAAGGACTGGTCTCCAAAATATATAAAGAACTCAAGAAATTAGACATCAAAATTCTAAAAAACCCAATTAAAAATGAGGTATAGAACTAAACAGAAAATTCTCAGGAGAAGAATCTCAAATGGCCAAAGGATATTTAAGGAAATGTTCAACATCCATAGCCATTAGGGAAATGCAAATCAAAACAACTCTGAGATACCATCTTATACCTGTCAGAAATGGCTAAGTTAAAAAGCACACCAATAATAGCTTATATTAGACAGGATGTGGAGTAAGGGGAACACTCATCATGGTTGGGAGGATGGACTCCAGGAGAGCATAGGGCTTGGGGCTTATTAGGAAAGGGGTGAAGATGAGTCTGAAAGTGGTGGGGAGATGGGGAAGAGGCAGATGGGCTGTAGGCAGGGTGGAGGGAACCCAACAGAAGGTCTCAGCCTAGGAAGGGAGCAGGACAGGTGGCTGGAGGCCGGTGACAGGAGTTTTTTTTAGAAACTTAAACATCAGAATAATCTCTAGAATCACAACTCTTAAGTCAACCTGAAGATGGGTTTTAAACAAGAGTCAGTCATTTATCAATATAAGGGAATTGATCAGGGTACCCTGGGTCCTGTCACTGAGCCAAACTGCCTTTGCCGTAGCTGAGTCCAAGGACCAGTAGATGACCATCTCATGCCATGGGGTCAGTCAGTCTCACAGTTTCAGTGCAAGCATTCCCTTCAAACCCTTCGGAGAAATTCTTTAGCATTCACTGATGTCGTGAGGATTTAGTTGGTGATCTTCTTGTTAGGAGAACATTTATGTGACTGGTCTAAGTAGACAAATCCAGTAGCCCTGGCGATGAAGAGAGGAAGACACATGTGATCTTCCACAGTTCCCCTGCTGTGGGAACAAGGAGAATAAGGGGACAGGGAGCAACTGAGAATAGAAGCAGGGGAAGAGGAGTTTTTGGCTTCCGCAGTGAACTGATATGACTGGAAATTTCCTATCCTAGTGTGTTGGGGTCCCTGGGTAAGGGTCTCGTGCAAATCAGGACACAGGGGATGCAGAGTGTGAACAACTGCATAACAAGCTTTATTTTGTATGGCCTTTATACAGACTGAAAAGCATTACCTCAACTCTGAAGCCCCCCCCCCTTTATTCATGTACATGATCATGAGAAACTCTTGCCTCTCCTTGCAAGAAGCAATACCTCAATTAATAACAGTAATAAAAATGAAAAGAAGAACATAGAAACAAGGCAAAAAATATACACAAGCAAAGCACTCCTTTGTAACTGGTAGAGTGTGAAGAACTGAGCTCAAAGGCCACTTCCTTATCCAGGGTACAGATTCTGACAGAACGTTTGAGAAATAAGCAGAGAAAGTTTGTTTTCATCTATGCTTGGTTTGCCAAGCAACCGTTTCCCAACTTCGTCTCATCTGTCCCAGGAGGAGCCTGCACTCTAAGGCAGTTCTGTGTCTCCACATCCTGAAGAGAAGAGGTACCAACAGCAATCACAGCAACTGGATTTAGACTTTGAAGTAAAAGTTCTCATGAGGAAAGTTTTACCTCTTGGAAATCTGTTGTTACTGGAGTTCCCCCCCCCCCTTGGGCAGAAGTTTAGAATATTCTGCAGCATCCACTATACTTTTCTTCCTGTGTTGTTTCTTCAGAGCATCAGTGGTTCATCGGTTTTTGAGGTGCAGGATACATGGAGTAAGAGATGCCTAAACTTGGGTGCTTTAGTCCTAGTGTCTTTTTTGGAAGGGTTGGGGACAGGGTTTCTCTGTAGCTTTGGAACCTGACCTGGAACTAGCTCTTATAGACCAGGCTGGCCTTGAACTCACAGAGATCCACCTGCCTCTGCCTCCCGAGTGCTGGGTTTAAAGGCATGCGCCACTACTGCCCGGATTCTAGTGTCTTATCTTCAATCTTTTTTTTTTAATTTTTTATTGAGAAAAAGAAGTTTCTGCCTCTTCCCAGCCTCCCATTCCCCTCCCCCTCCTCCCACCCTTCTCCTCCTCCCCCCACTCCTCTCCCCCTCCCTCTCCAGTCCAAAGAGCAGTCAGAGTTCCCTGCCCTGTGGAAAGTCCAAGGTCCTCCCCGCTCTGTCCATGTCTAGGAAGGTGAACATCCAAACTGGCTAGGCTCCCACAAAGCCAGAACATTAAGTAGGATCAAAACCCCGCGCCATTGTCCTTGGCTTCTCAGCAGCCCTCATTGTCCGCCATATTCAGAGAGTCCGGTTTTATCCCATGCTTTTTCAGTCACAGTCCAGCTGGCCGTGGTGAGCTCCCAATAGATCAGCTCCACTGTCTCAGTGGGTGGGTGCACCCCTCGTGGTCCTGACTTCCTTGCTCATGTTCTCCCTCCTTCTGCTCCTCATTGGGACCTTGGGAGTTCAGTCCGGTGCTTCAGTGTGGGTCTCTGTCTCTATCTCCATCCATCACCAGATGAAGGTTCTTATCTTCTATCTTAAAGGCTTTCTGAAAACATCTTGGTGGATGTGATGGCTATTCTGGGTCGCCAAATTGACTACATCTGGATTTAACCAAAACCCCAAAGCCTAGCCATACCTGTGAGCAACTAATTTCTTACTTAAATCATTTCATGTGGGCAGATCCCATTTCTAATCCTGATCTTTGAGGTGGGAAGACACCTTTTTAACACAGATCTTTTGAGGTAGAGGTGAGAAGATCCACCTCTAATCTGGACCACACTTTCTGCTGGCTGCCTACGTAAAGGACACAAAGAAGGAAGCTCTGCTCTTTGTCTGCTTGTCTTTGCTCTCACTGGCAAGTGCATTCTTCTTTTATTTTCTCTGAGACAGGGTTTCTCTGTGTAGCCCTAACTCACAGAGACTCACTTGCCTCTGCCCACCAGGTACTGGGATTAAAGGTGTGAACCACCATGCCCAACTTTTTTTCTTTTTTTAGGAAGAATACTAGTGGGATTTTAAAAGAGAAGACAATCTGTAGGCCACTTTGGTTTGAACATTGTAACTGTATTTCTTACAATCAGTGAATACAGGGTGTGTCCCCAATTAGTGTATTCCCTTCAGTTTCTTTCATCTGTCTTTTCTCAGCTATTTTACCTCTTTTGGCTGAAGTTGTTGAAGCAGTTCTCTTACTTTAACTTTCTGATCAAATGTTGTTAGTGTATGTAAATACAAGTGGTTATTTTTGTTTGCTGATTTTTTTATCCTACAATTTGATACACAATTTATTACTCCTAGAATCTTTTGCTGGACTCTTCAGAGTTTTCTAAGCTTACTATCATGTCATATGCATGAAGAGACTCCTTAACCTCTTCATTTCTAAACTAGATGCATTTTATTTATGTTTCTTGCTCAATTAGCTAGGATTTCTAGTGCCGCATTGAGTAAAGATGCGAATGGCACCTTCCTGGCTTCAACTCCTCACTGTTAAGTATTATGCTATCTGTATTATATTGTAAGTCTCTCTCTCTCTATCTCTGTACATTCTTCCCATATTTAATTTCCTGGCAGATTTTTATCAGAAAGTGTGTTGAGTTTTGACACCTTTTCTTTTTCTGCATTTGTTGACGGGATGATGATGTTTAGCCTTTTATCCTCTTCATTTGGTCCATCACATTGATTGATTAGAGTGTCATTCAACTTTCCTGGCCCATTGATGTGCAAGTGAGGGCAGGGAGTACAAGGGGCAGAGGAACGAGTGTCTTCATTGAGTTTTACTACTTCGTTGATTTTTTTTTCCCTAGTGTATCTGTATTTTCTACTTTTTAAAAAGATCCTTATCGTCATTCTTGTTTTCATTCTTCTGGTTTCCAGAGGTTAGTTTGCTCTGCTCTTTGTTTTTAGGGTAGAGATCAAGATTGTTAACTGGAAGCCTTCCTTAGCTTAATGTAAGCATATATTACTTCATAGTTTCCTTTAACAGTACTTTTCCTGTGTGCAGCAGATTCTTTCCAGAAAGTTATCTTTAATGTCTGTTTCAGGTCTCTTGCTGCAGCAAGGCGAGTGGGAGCACCTGGAGCGCGAGCTCGGAAGGAGACTCCACGGGTTGTACGAAAATGGCAGACAAGCCGGACATGGGGGAAATCGCCAGCTTCAATAAGGCCAAGCTGAAGAAGACCGAGACGCAGGAGAAGAACACCCTGCCGACCAAAGAGACCATTGAACAGGAAAAGAGGAGTGAAATTTCCTAAAAGCCCAGACTGGAGGATTCCCCCACCCCACCCCACCCCGTCATCTCCGAGACCCCCTCGTGATGTGGAGGAAGAGCCACCTGCAAGATGGACGCGAGCCACAAGCTGCACTGCTGCACTGTGAACCCGGGCACTCCGCGCCGATGCCACCGACCCGCGGGTCCCTGAAGGGGGACCCCCCACTAATCGGACTGCCAAATTTCACCGGTTTGCCCTGGGATATTATAGAAAATTATTTGTATGATTGATGAAAATAAAACACCTCGTGGCAAAAAAAAATGTCTGTTTCACGTAAATAACATTTATATACAAGAAAACAGGACTATCAAAATTTGGATTTTTGCTTAGGATAAATGTTCATACAAGTTTTAAAAATTATTTTATTTTATGTGTATGTATGTTGTTTCGCCTGAATATATGTGTGCATACCATGTATATGCCTGGTGCCCTTGGAGGACAGAGGAAGGTGTCATATTCCTGGAACTGCAGTCATCTGTAACTCCAGCTACACATAACTGCTGTTGTGAGCACCATGTGGGTGTTTGTATTTGAACTTAGGTCCTCTGGAAAAGCAGCTGGTGCCCTTAATCATTGAGGCATCCTTCCAGCTTTCTATGTTTTTTTTTTTTTTAACCTCAGTATATATTTGCGGTTGCTTAAATAAGAATGGCCCACATAGGCTCATAAATTCGAATGCTTGGTAACCAGGGAGGCTTTGGCTTTGTGGGGTCAGTGTGGCCTTGTTGGAGGAAATGTGTCACTCCAGTTGGCTTTGGGGTTTCAAATGCATGTCTGAGCAGTCTTCTCTGGCGAATACCCCACAACATTTCTGGAAATCTGACCAAGATTCCAGAACCAGACCTAAAGACACCAGAGACCCCGGGGGACAGAGAAGACTGTGGTGGTCAAGGAGCTCCAAGGGAAGTGGTCCTCAACTAATGGGTCTCAACCCTTTGGAGGGTTCAAGGGGCTTTTCAAAATGGTCACAGGCCACATGTCAGATAGCTTGCATATCGGATATTCATACTATGATTCATAACACTAGCAGAATTACAGTTATGAAGGAACAACAAAAATAATCTTTGGCCAGGTAAGGTGGCGGCAGTGGCTGGGCGCGGAAAGTGGAGGACAACAAGGGGTGGGGAGGGGAGAAACGCAGGAGCAGACAGGTCTGCGAAGCGCCCCCACCAACCTCCTACCTGAGGAGGAGGCAAACTTGAGGGAGCCAATTGCCAAGGGGCGCGCTGGCAGACAGAAAACTTTAATCGCTTCCTGGGGGTCTAAGAAAACGGGGAGGGAGTTCTGTGGTCCTAACCCCGCAATCGCTGCCCACCGCGCGAACCTGAGAGAAACTTGACCTGCCCAGAGGCTTGCTCTGCACCCGGTCCGCGCGAGGCAGAGGTGTCTGTCTGTCCATTCTGTCTGCCCCATGCTCCCTGACAGCCAGAGTAAGAGATTGAGCCGCACTGCCTGGTCGCGTGGGTCAGGGCTCTTGCCCCATCCTTCCACGGGGGACACGAAAGTAAAGGTCACCTCTATTTCTCTTCTCTGTCCTGCAGCCACCGCCCAACTTCCTTTTTCTCCTCTTTCCCCGCTGATTAATTTTTTTTCTTTTTTTGGGGGGGGGCGCGAAAAGACGGAGTCTCTTTCCTTATGCAACTTCCTCTGTCGCCCTTTGCAAGCCCTCCCCCCATGGTGATCCTTTTTTTTAAATTTTTTTTAAAATATTTTTATTTATTATGTATACAGTGTTCTGTCTTCATATATGCCTACTCGCCAGAGAGGGCACCAGATCTCATTACAGATGGTTGTGAGCCACCATGTGGTTGCTGGGAATTGAACTCAGGACCTCAGGAAGAGCAGTCAGTGCCCTTAACCTCTGAGCCATCTCTCCAGCCCCCCACCCCCCATGGTTATCCTTTATCCTGCTCCTTTGCCACCTTGGGGCCACCTCCAGAAACAAGCATTTGAGATCACTCAAAGTTCCCAGGAACAAAAAGAGAGTTTTAAAAAATTGTTCTAGTTAAGGGAAACCGAGATGAGAAATAAAAACCCCAAAACGCCTCTGTGTGTGTGTGTGTGTGTGTGTGTGTGTGTGTGTGTGTGTGTGTGTAGTAATATGAGCTGCGGGGCTGCATCCCCGGCACCCCAGCCACCTGGCTAGCTTATGCCCGAAATAACAACACACAAACTGTATTCATTTAATCACTGCTTGGCCCATTTCTATCTAGCCTCTTCTAGGCTAATTCTCACATATTAATTTAGCCCATTTCTAATCATCTGTGTAGCACCCCTAGGTGTGCTTACTGGGAAGATTCTAGCCTATGTCCATCCTGGGTCAGAGCTTCATCGCGTGCGTCTGCCTGGGAGGTAGGAGCATGGCGTCTCTGTCTGAGGTGTCTTACCTCACTTCCTCTTCCTCCCAGCATTCTGTTCTGTTTACTCCACCCACCTATGTTCTAAGCTATGAGCCCAAGCAGTTTATTTATTACTTAAACAATGAAATCAACAGATAGATATATGATACTCCCACATCACTTCCCCTTTTTCTGTTTAAACAAAAAAAGGAAGCCTTTAACCTTAACATAGCAAAATTACATATAACAAAATAATTATCAAGTAAAAATTACAATAATCTTTATCATAATTAAGGAAAACTATAACTATAACTAACTATTCTTAACTCCACCAAAGACTCCAGAAAGATACAATATTACCTAAGCAAACAAGAAAAAAGCAACTTTTAAAACTCTAGAAATGACAGAGTCATCTCGCTGCCTGGACAGTCACCCAAAGTTCCTCTGTACCATTGGGGCATCCATCTTCGGCCTACAGGCCCATGGTATCCAGAGACATTTCCATGAAGCAGGAAATTTCAAAGGCAGTCACTATCTGCTTGTCCTGAAGAATGTCTTGCAGACTCTTTCATGAATCAGGAACCCCGAAAGATCATCTCACCTTTAAGCAAGTTCAGTAGTCCTCTCTCTGTGGGTTCTCTGTGTCCAGTTTATGCAATAGTCCAGGCAAGAGCAGTTTCTTGCCCAAATGGCTATCAAACTCCATTAAGGATCCTCTTCGATGCCCATCTTCTTCTTGAAGTAGATTGGTGCTGCCAGGAGCAGACATGCCTCATTGTCATGAAAACCCCTAAGTTATTAAAACATTTAAAATGCCATATTCTATAATCTTTGAAAAATATGAAGAATGCCTATCTAAAATATATCTACGCACATCTAGAAAATATTAACTAACATGACTACAAATTTGACTATTATGATTATCTATTAACAACCTATATACATTACATTTTTAAGTGAACTACACAATCACAATACCTTAATAAAGATCAGAAATACATATAACAAAATTGACCTTAAATCTCTATCAATAAAGCAAAATCTATACTAATACAAATTATTCATATCTATATCATATCCCCCTTTAAATGTAAAAGAACATTTATAAACAATATTTGGGAACATGGGCGCAGTTTTTTCTCTCCAAACTGCTTCCTGCTAAATGGGGGTGTCATTAATTAGGTCTTTCATGGTATAACCTGTGTGCTAGTTTCATCTCAGTTGGCAGTTGAGCGAAACAATTTTCTGAAGATGTTCACAGCAACCCTTCAGGAGGGCGTGGTCCATCATACCACATCGGAATAGAAGAAATGAACAGGGTCTCATCCTCTGTGAAAACCAAAGAAGACCCTTTCCAAAGCATCATATCCTTAGACCCAAATTTCAAAATCAAGGCATTTTCAAAGTATCTATGTTGGATTAGTTCAGCAGCATTTATAAACAAATATCTTTTAGCAGCTGTTGCTCTTTTCTCAGCATTCAAACAATTCAAAGAGAGCATAATAGCATACAGTATCAATATTCTCTGTGTATATTCCATCTTTGTACGGCTTTATTTTGAACTCTATTTCATTTATTTTTAATTTTATTTTATATTCTCTGTATATCTTTGTTCTGGAATAACTCTGTTGACCAGGCTGTCCTTGAACTCTCAGAGATCCGCCTGTCTCTGCCTCCCAGGCATTGGGATTAAAGGTGTATGCTACTGCACCTTGAACTCACAGAGATCTGTTTGCCTCTGCCTTCTAGGCACTGGGATTAAAGGCGTGTGCTACCACACCTTGAAGTCACAGAGGTCAATCTCCCTCTGCCTTCCAAGTGTTGGGATTAATGGTGTGTACTACCACACACAACAACTCTCTTCCTTTTTTTTTTACTTTAAGAACTTCAACTTTTAGCTTGCATATATTTTTAACACGCTGTAAATAATTTTAAAAAATTTTTTGAATCTCTTTTTACTGTATCTCTCTTTTTCTGACCACATGAGTCTTTAATTTACCAAGCAATATCAGTAGGACTAAAGCCGTGGCTTTGCCAGCTAGATGTAGCCCATTCCTTAGCTTTCCAGCCTCATGGCTGAGGTACTGGCTGTAGCCATGTTTACTGCCACAACTCTATGGCATTTCAAGGTCCCTGCCAGCAAGCGAGCTTCAGCAGCGTGTGCTTGCAAATCGCACGAACTGCCTGTGTAAAAGAGTCAGAGTTTGCCCTGGCAGGACAGCCCAGAAAGCTGGCACTTTTAAATGGCACAGCTTTTCGGCAACAACGTTTAAGTGTTTCGTGGCAGGACCTCTTAAAAGAGCTGCAAGCTTTGCAGCTAAAGCTGAGTCAGGAAGCCTCTCTTAGATGAGAGCGCTTGCTTCCTTCTAACAAGCAGAGCAGACCCGAGAAATCGCTGCTATCAAGAAAACATGCTTTACTCTTTCCCAAGCTTTTTCAGGCTTTCAGTGGATACAGCTGTCCACATGACTGGGCACCATTTGTAGTAATATGAGCTGCAGGGCTCTGTCCTCCCCGGCACTCCGGCCACACCGGCCACCTGGCTAGCTTATGCCCGAAATAACACTACACACACTGTATTCATTTAATCACTGCTTGGCCCATTTCTATCTAGCCTCTTCTAGGCTAATTCTCACATATTAATTTAGCCCATTTCTAATCATCTGTGTAGCGCCCCTAGGTGCGCTTACCAGGAAGATTCCAGCCTAAGTTCATCCTGGGTCAGAGCTTCAACGCATGCGTCTGCCTGGGGGCTGGGAGCATGGCGTCTCTCTGAGGCGTCTTACCTCACTTCCTCTTCCTCCCAGCATTCTGTTCTGTTTACTCCACCCACCTATGTTCTAAGCTATG